CGTTTGCATTATAACAATGAGAAGCTTGGCAGAAAAAAAAGAAAAAAACTTCTTGAAAAAAGCAAGGTTTCCAACCTTCGTTCTAAATTACTCATATATGATATTTGTGGAACATAATTGAGCAGGATTTCTTTAAAACGTGTTATCTGAGGGAAATTCTCAGTAATGTCTCTTCCTTCCTCTCAGAGCTTTTCAACAAATCCAACAAGAATATTTCTCTGCTAGGATAGCATTAGAGGCTACTATCTGCATGAACCGGTTCTTCCTCAGTCAGTCACATTTGCTCAGTGAGTTCCATTCCTGTTAAAACAACACCTTGTAAGTCATATGGAAAGAAGCTGCAGACTGAACAAACATGCTGAGTAGTTTTACTAATGAAAATCAACATGGGAAAGTTAGCAAGTCTTTGTTTTTCTCATCCTTATCCTTTATCAATAAATAAACATGAGTTCTTGATATTCTTTCGCTAAGTGGAGAGTCCTTGATTTGGACCACATTCTGATCTAATGTTTAAGCGTAAAATTCAGTGCAAGGTTAGAGGATTAGAACATGGAGTAATGCCATTCGCACTAGAAATAAAAGACCAGTTAGTAGAAGCTCCTGGGATTCTTGCTGTCTCCTTACCAGTAAATTAGAACATTTAGACTTAAAGTAAGAAGAAATCAAGATGGATCACTAGAGAATAGTCATCTATTTTACTATTGATGTAATCTTTCATTTTCGTACACTTTTCTACATAAAAGTAGGTTTTATGTCTTTGAATTGCAGATTCATGGTTTGAGAACTGATATTGAAAATCTTTTTTTTTTAATGTTTATTTTTGAGAGAGAGTGAGTGTGCGTGAGTGGGGGAGGGGCACAGAGCGCGGGCAACAGATTCTGAAGCAGACTCCAGGCTCTGAGCTTCAGCACAGAGTCAGACGCAGGACCTGAATTTACAAACAGTGAGATCATGACCTGAGCCAAAGTCTAACACTTAACCGACTAAGCCACCCAGACACCCCTGAAAATCCTTAAAAAGATAATTTTTTTTTAAGTAAGCTCTGTGCCCGACAAGGGGCTCAAACTCATGACCCCAAGATCAAGAGTCACATGTTTCACTGACTAAGCCAGGCCAGGAGCCTTAAAAGACAATTTTTAATGTAAAGTTTTCATGTAATGTCAGATTGTTCTTAAACGTTTGCTATTTATAATTTTGTAAACATTTGTCCATGTCATTATATATTTTTTGCAACATGTTAAGTTTGGTGCATATTATTCTGTTATACAAGTATTTTCTAAAAACAAATCCCATATTATTGAATGAGGTTTGTGGTGTAGGAGTTAAGCATAAGTTTTGGATCGGGTAACTGAATTGGAATCACAACTCTCCTACTAACTTGTTATATGACCTTGGGAAGTTACTTAGTCTCTGAATTTCAGTTTCTTCACCCGTAAAATGAATAGTGCTTAACTCCTAAGATTGGGTCGAAGAGTAGGTGGAATCCAAGGCTTTTGACAAAACTAGCTTTTAGAAGGTGGCATGCTATTAGCAGTGTGCAAGAGTGCTTGTTTCCCTGCACTGTCACCAACACAGGTGTTATCCAGGTTGACAATGCACTACCTTATTTGATTTAGTTTTTTAAAATAAACTAAACTGCCTCCATTACTATAATTAGAAACTTTATTGTGTTTTAATTAATATGCAGAATATTTTTAATATTAACTTATTTTTAAAATTCTATTTTAAAAGTATTTATTATAACTTTATAATAAAAAAGTTTAATGCTTGATGCTTCTTTTTAGAAGATACTAGATTATACTTTGCTGCCTCAGTGTCTTCTTTCATAATATATCATCATGAATTGCTGCTCTGAAAACCTGACTGTATAACCTTAAGGGGAATCGGAATAATCTGTGTAGAAATAACCTACTTGATAATAATCGGAGGTGTTCTGTTGGGTCGTTTTCTGTGTCTTCCTACAAGTCCGAGCTATTGCACATAAGGACAAGCTGAGTTAGAGGAGGAATAATAACATCCATTGAAGAGTCCAGTGTACAAGAGAGTTTGGAGGAAGCATGATCCTGAAGAATTCTGTGGTCTGCTACCTAAAAGAGGTTTAGACACACTGGGTAAGTCACAAGAGAACTATAAAAACTAAATGAGATTTTTCAAAATTAACTTTTGTTTTATTTCCACATCTTTCTGTAAAATAGTATTCTTACTGTGATAACAACATGGTAATACCGTGGAAGAAAGACCAACTTAAATGTGTTAAAACTATACTTGACACAAGGTCAAGAAAGAACTACTACTAACCAACTGAAATATTATCTCCTTTTCTGTGTTTTCATTCTCAACAGATAAGTTCACCCTAGTAGAGGAAGTCCAGACTGACATGAAAGTGAAAATATTTGATACAACCCATAAGTTCAACCTGAATTTTTTTTTTGTCAAAGGAAACTATAGTTCATTTTTAAAAGTCTCTTTCTATCTTTAATTTGCTTCTTGTTAAAGTGAACTTTCCCTTAGTTTACTGGAGATGGGGAGGGCTGCCTTAGAGATTGACCAGCCACACCCCATCCCCTCTGCCAAGGACAAAGCAGGGACCTGTGTCTCAGGATTAGGGGAAATGGTTAAGAAGGAGAGGAAAAGAAAATTGCTTTTCCAGCTTCTCTAACTTCCCATGTAGCCTACAGAGAAAAGCAAGCATCCCTTGGGAGGAAATAACAAAAGTGCTAAACAGTAGATGGATGGATGAAGCCTGCATCCCTGCAATGTACTGGAACCCTTGCCTTTATAATGTCCCTTGCTCATGGTTCTCAGAAGGCCAAATGGATGTTTACTGCCCATTGGCCCTACCCTCCTGGGCTCCTCTACCTTTGAAGCTGTTCCTGGCTCAGTTCCTTTTCCTGCCAGAAATATCAGTCAGAAAAGAGGGTCTGGAAACACTGTAACAGTCCAGTTGCCTTGTTTCCTTTCCCAAGAGCACACTTGAGGTAGCTGCTTAGACCATAAGAGGTATTCATAAGAGGCCCTAAGAGTCACTTAATTGCCTGGGTGGCTCTGTGGGTTAAGTGTCCGATGCTTGATTTCGGCTCCAGTCATGATCTCACAGATCATAGGTTTGAGCCCCACAACAGGCTCTGTGCTGACAGTGTGGAGCCAGCTTAGCATTCTCTTTGTCCCTCTCTCTGCCCCTCCCCCACTCATGCACAAACACACCTACCCGCACTTTCTCTCAAAATAAATAAACTTTAAAAAAAGGTGAGAACATAGCACAGAGACCAAAATAATGAGTGCAGAAATCTTCTTGGAAAAAAAAAAAAAGGTGAGAACTAATTGGAAGAAGTGTCAGGTAATAAGAGATAAGCAAACCTCTTCTTACAAGACCAGTCATCATTATATTATCTTTAATGTGCCCCCACCTCAGCCAAAAAAAAAAAAAAAAAAAGGCTCCCATGAAATAAACATTCTAAGATTCTATCTTTTCATTAAGCATAGATTGGATTTCCTTACCAAATACAGTACTATGATTTGTCAGACTTTTGATTCTTAAAATACTTCATGACCGCCCTGTGTACTGCTTTCCCCTCTCTCAACAATAACCTCAACAAACATGGTAGGTATTGATGCCATATTTGCTTAATTATCTTCTCAGGAATCAGAGTATGATCTGATGAAAAGAACTTTTAAGAGTTTATATCAGTTTGATTGTCTGAAATTCCATACCAAGTTAATGCTTTCACATTGTGTGATCACAATTCTAATGTAAACAAAAAGGACATTGATGGTGAGCTGAAACTTAACACTAACACATTATATGCTTATAAGGAAAAGTCCTTGGGATTTCAACTGCCACATGAATTAGACCCTTTGGCATGTCTTATAATAATCTGACTTTATTTTTATTTCATTCATTGTGATAAAAGCACCCACCACACAAATGTGGTTAGACATTTCTTTAACTTTTCTTCATTGAAGGAGTTATGTAAATCTGTTCACTGCAAAGATTTCCCTCACTTACTGGAAGAGAAACATCTCTTCATCATACCCAAGCTAGTCACATACTTCCCATGGATCATCCCTTCACCACCTCCTCTGCTTGGACATAATTATTGAAACATACCTGAAAGGGCATGGGACCTTTGATTTTGAAAAAGTTCTTCCTATGCAGCACACCAGCTGAAGGCCTTTGGGCAGCTCAGTTTTCCTGAGCCTATTCGCAGGGTTATTGTAAGATTCCTATGCATATGAGGCATGGGAAATTGTTTTAATGTATAAGGTGCCAAATAAATAAAGCAGTAGTTACTACATTTCTTTAACTTGTTACCATCCCCACTGCCTGCATACAAACATTTTCATTAGTACCCATTCTTCCCTCTCAGAAGTGTTAAATGTCCCATCTCAGAAGAAAATGTCTTAGAAGCCTAGTTTCTACATCCTTCTAAAAGAAGGTCCCTTTCTGTCTAATGCTAATTCCTCCCCTGGTGCTTACATATCCACTGCAGATTCCTTATGAATCTTTCTTAATTCTCTACCATCCCCTTTCTCCTGTGGCTTTAGCCTTTCCTCCTTTGATTTTCATCCTCTCAATTTAGAAACACATTCATCTTCTTCCCATTACTTTCACATTAAATGTCCGTAAAAGACTGGTCTACTTCACACCCCAATCTCTTCTAAACACTGCTCTGTCAACTGCACCAAAGCTGCTTTGTTAACATAACCAGTGATATTTTAAATACCAAATTAATGGACTCCTTTGGGTTGTATTCCAGTAAAATTTCTTTTTTTTTTTTTAATTTTTTTTTTCAACGTTTATTCATTTTTGGGACAGAGAGAGACAAAGCATGAACGGGGGAGGGGCAGAGAGAGAGGGAGACACAGAATCGGAAACAGGCTCCAGGCTCTGAGCCATCAACCCAGAGCCCGACACGGGGCTCGAACTCACGGACCGCGAGATCATGACCTGGCTGAAGTCGGACGCTTAACTGACTGCGCCACCCAGGCACCCCTAAAATTTCTATATCGGTTTTAAAATTGTTAACCACTCTTTCCTTCAAACTTTTTCTTCATTTGCATTTCATGACCTCACTTTCACTTAATTCTTATACCTTTTTGTCCCCTGTTCAGTCTTTTTCCTAGGCATCTCATCTTTTCTGCTTCTAGAAGAGGCTTAGAGATATCTAGCTTGCCAAATTAAATAAATTCTTCCCCCATGGCTATTGGAATCATCTCAAAGATCCCTATGTGTTAGGCAAATTTGATGCTGTGGTAGTGATTTTGTGGTTAGGATAAATATATAATGAAAACTGGATCATGACTACTTATTTTCCATAGACTTCTAAAGTGTCTAAAGATGTAGATAATTTTTAGTATCAGCTTATATGAATTCAGTTTAAGCCTCATCTAAAGGTATGAAAAGCCACAATAGCAGAAATATAAACAACAAAAACTCCATTATTAAACATTTCCTGAATGCTAATTGTGTAATTGTCAAGTACCAGGGTCACTTGAACATCTTGTCCTCATCTGGTACTACTAGACCACAAGAATTTTCTCCCTCTCTCTCTAAGGCAGGTACCAGGTAGTAAGAACCACTCCTTATTTCTACTAAACTATGAGATTTTTCATCACACTGTGGGCTCCCTGCAGATAGAGATGATGTCTTAGTCATCTGTGTCCTCTGTGCCAAGCAGACCACTTGACATGTAAGTTCACAGTGAATGCTTATTGAGTTGATTTAGTTTGGGTGGGATAGACTGAACCAAATTAAAATGGCATGGAAGATGCTTCGGAAAGCAGTTTGGAAAGTTCCTTAAAAAGTTAAACATAAATTACCATATGCCTTAACAATTCCACTTGTAAGTAGGTACCCAAGAAATGAAACAAATTGATACCAAATGAAACATATCAATATGAACATGAATGTTCATAGCAGCATTATTCATAATAGTCTAAAAGTAGAAACATCCAAATGTCCATCAGTTGATAAAAAGAATGTGGTATGTGTATAAACACACACACACACACACACACACACACACACACACACACACACACACACACTGGAACATTATTCAGCCACAAAAGGAGTGAAGTACTAATATATGCTACAATATGGATGAACCTTGAACATGCTGAAAGAAGCCAGTCATAAAAGGCTACAAAACACTGTGTGATTCTATTTATAAGAAATATCCAGAATAGACAAATTAATAGAGACAGAAAGTAGATTAGTGGTTGCCTAAAGATGAGAAGAGAGAGTTGAAGGGGGTGATAATAAAGGTGCATTGTTTATTTGGGTGTGATGAAAATATTCTAAAATTGATTGAAGTGATATTCGTACAACTCTGAATATTTAAAAAATTTAATTATACACTTTAAATGGATTTTGTGATATGTACATTACATCTCATTAAAAAAAAGAACACTGAGGAAAGTTAAGGGAACCACAAATAAATCATAAATCTAGACTTTGGTTAATGTGGAAGAGACTTTTCATAAAATTACTCATTTTTTTGTTTTTTTAAAAAAGGAAGGGGCATAGAAGTTGTGGGATACAGTTAGTCAAGAGCACTTTGAACATTCTCTTGCATTCTGCTGAGAAACAGAAATGTCTAAAACTCCATTTTTCTTCCCTAGCACCACTAGTGTAATTCAAAGGGAACTTTTTGAAACTTATTGAAAGATAGGCCAGGTTTCTGTTCCTCTGGGAATGTTTAGATAGATGACAGATGATAGAAAGATAGGTAGGTACATAGGTAGATAGATAGAGTGGTGATTGCACTTGCTGGGGGAAAAAACAAGTCTAAAATAACTTGCCCTTCTATAAATACAATTCAGAAAGAGTTATTTTTTGTGGATTATTGGACTGGGTGAGAACTTTGATAGCTCTTCTGTTATAATACTTTCAACAACTGCAGCAGTTGATTCCATTTTCCCTTGTCTCTTACTGTGTTTGAGGCAACATCTGTTGAAGTTCATCATTTAAGCTCCCATTTGCTCCCTAGCCATTTTTCAAGGGTCGATGATTTGGTTATTTCTAGGCAGGATTTTTTTTTTTTTTTTTTAATGGCCAGATTGTTTCTTCTCTAAGAATGTATGCAAAGAAAAGTAAATGTGAAGGCACTGTAACTTACAGTCTGGGTACAGACTTACAGCCCCTGAAAACCTTCTACACTTTAATGTCATGTCAGTCATTTTAATGTCTGTGGAATTGCATTTGGAAAATGGGGGACATAACTGTCTACTTCTTGAGAGAGCTAATGATTAAATTCATGCTTTAAAGATATTTTGAATTAAAATATTGAAGATATTTGAATTAAAATATACTATAACTCATTCACACATTCAGAAATGAAGCTCTTTGAGCTTGTAGGAGGAAATACTGCGCTGCTGATTTAGAACAGCACTGTCCAATAGAAATATAATGTGAGGTACAAATGTAAGCCAGATACATAAAATTTTAATTTTTTTGTACCTACATTTAAAAAGGAAAAAGAAACAGATGAAATTCATTTAAATAATATATTTATCTCAAAATATTTACCTCAGTATATTCAAAATACAGGGGCGCCTGGGTGGCGCAGTCGGTTAAGCGTCCGACTTCAGCCAGGTCACGAACTCGCGGTCCGTGAGTTCGAGCCCCGCGTCAGGCTCTGGGCTGATGGCTCGGAGCCTGTGTCTCCCTCTCTCTCTGCCCCTCCCCCGTTCATGCTCTGTCTCTCTCTGTCCCAAAAATAAATAAACGTTGAAAAAAAAAATTTTTTTTTAAAAAAAACAAAATACAATGTCAACATGTAGTTAACAAAACAATTATTGATATACATTATGTTCTTTTTTTTTGGTTCTAAATCTTTGAGATTTTATGGTGTGGTTTACACTTACAGTTGGTCTCAATTCAGATTGGCCATGTTTCAAGTGCTTAATAGCGACATTCACAGTGGCTACAAATTGGACAGATTTAATAAAATCTATAAATAATTTAATAGTAAAAATTATTTTAAAATAATTTTAAAAAATTAAAATTAAATAAAAATTTAAAAAGTATTAAAAAATAATTTAATAATAAAAATTTAATAAAATCTATAAATCTATAAATAGATTTAGAATTTAGAACTTTTATTCTGATTGTAGCAAGAGGATGAGTCATGGGAGAAAGTCAAGTAGCAGTTTTGCTAAATAAAGGAAAATGGTTTCATAAGGGAAAAAAAACCCTTTCCTATGTGAGATTATAATCTAAAGTAGGACTTTCTGTGTTCTTTTTGATTAGTCTTAAATTACTTTTACAAACCTATTTTCTTTGAAAAGTAATCTTAATTGGTAGAAGAAAGAAATAAATATATGTGGTAGTTAGGAATATTTTAGAGACTTTGTTCTGAATGGGACCTCTAAAAGAATCTGATTGGCTGGATCTTCTTAACTTCAGGAATTGAAAATATAAGAGGGTTTGTGAATTGTTACATTTAATAACACCAATATTCAAAAACAGTATAGCCTGTATCGTATATATTACTAATTAATATATATTATTAATATTTATATATAATTATAGAATATATCATTTTATATGATACCATTATTGATTATATTTTCATTTATCTATGTATCTAAATAGTAAATTTTACTTGCCTGCGTTGAAAAGCTTTGAATTATAGAGCTATTCTAAAAAAGCCTGTAAACTGAGACCTCCTTGGGAAGAAAATCAGTATAGGAAAGAGTTTTCTTCTAGTCTCCCCTCCTGTGCTCCCACGTCCCTTGTCAAACAAAAGGATATTGAAAAGTCTATTTGGCCAAGTATTCCTTTTAATTTAAAATAATACTTACATTGGGAACTAATAGAAGTTTAGATGAAGCTACAGACATTTCTCAACAGGGATGTATTTTAACAGCATGAATTTTGACCCAGTGGATTATCAAATATTGTTATTTAGCAATGTTTAAAACAGGCTGGGTCACACAAATAAACTTAAATTGCAGTTTGCTACCTCTCGAGCTCTGTATGAAACTCTCCCTGCCCCCTTTTCAGCCACAGTCCCTCTCCCCAGGCCTTCCTCTCAACCTCACAGATCTCTGGCACTAGTATCTGCAGAGGAAGGAGTGGGGATGAAGGCAAGTAGAGTAAAACAATGGGGAAGGGAAGAAGACAGAGTAGGCAGAGTACCTTGTGACCTTAAAATAACGAGCCGTGTTTTCCTGTGTGTCTGGTAAACTGTCTCTAAAGACAATTCCAAAAAAGAAGCTATAAAAATGTTTAGAATAAAGACAACATCCTTGGGCTAAAAGCCTGCCCTACCAAGTTTGCTACCATGAAGCTCATTACACTTTTGACTGTAACTGAAAAGCCGATTTTGGTGTTTGGAAGGTGAGGAATGGAAGTGAGGTGAGGTCAGTCTTACTACTTGAAAGCCATTGTTTATAATGCATTACAATTTTTTGAAAGAATTGACACAAGAAGTAGTGCTCCCCCTGCTCCCGTCTGTTATAAAAAATGATGAGGGCTTCTTCTTTGAGATAAAAAGAGGTTTGTAATTTTGTCGATTCAGGGTAAAACTGCTGTGTACCTCAAAATTTTTCAATTTTTTTTTTTTACATTGAAGTAACAACATAGTGAGTGAGCAGAGTAAAAATTTCAATGCAAGTAAGATTTCTAAATAGCTGTGGTACACCAAATATTGCCTCCCAAAGATGTTCACATCCTACTACTCCCCACAACCTGTGAATATGTTACCTTATATGGCAAAAGAGACGTTGCAATTGTGATTAAGGATCTTGAGATGGGAAGATTATTCTGGATTATCTGGGTGTGCCCAATGTAACCACAAACATCCCTTTGAAAAGGAAGCTAGAAGGTCAAAATCAGAGAAAATGTGAGGAATAGAAGCAAATGTTGGAATGATGTAATTTGAAGATGGAAGAAGGGCTATGAGCCAAGAAATGCAGGGAGCTTCTAAAAGCTGGGTAAGGAAAGGAAACAGAATCTCCTCTAGAGCCTTCACAAAGATTTTAGCCTCACACCTCTCAGACTTGTGACTTACAGAACTGTAAAAAGAATATATTTGTGTTGCTTTAAGCCACAAAGTTTGTGGTAATTTATTATAGCAGCAATACATGCAACATTTGCCTTTAATTTTGATCAGCTACAGTTTCTGTCCTCCCATTTATTTATCATAATTTCATTGCCAACAACAGGAACCTACTAACGATGTGAAGTCCATCATGGGGACAGCAAACCATACCTGCACATATAAAGGCATCTATACCAGCAAGTAAGGCTACCTATTTCCATTTATCAAATCGATTCATCTAATACATACTGAATAAAAGAGGGGCCAACATCAACAAAATTCTTGCCCAGTTGGAGCCTACATTCTAATGGAGGATACAGACAATAAATAAACAATGCAGTTTCATACAATGGTAACTTTTCTTGGTAAAAGCAAATACTGGCTGATTTTGGAAAAGTTTTTGGAAAGGTTAACCAACTGTCTCTGTGTAAACCCAACTTCCAAGTTCATGTATCCTTTACTACTGTAAGATGTTTTTCCTGAGGTATTCAAGTAAAACCTGCAGGGGTTTCTTAAGACCTGGCATTTCATCTGTTCCATACCAGTTTTCTCAAATTTTGTGGGATAATCACTTTACAGCCTCTGTGCCTATGATCCACCTCTAGCCTTAATGCCATGTTCTGGCCAACATCCCAGAATAACCCACGACTATTGAGTCTCGAGTTGACTCCAGAATCTTTGTATGAGAGTATTTTAGGGATGGTAGTTTCATTAAAGTGTGGTTAGGAGACTTGTCTTAAAGCTCTGTTTGAATAGCAAGAACACTGCCTAGAGTAATGCTTGGGAGGTAAGTACCTGGTAGGTACTCAACAGGTATTTTTAAATAAATTAATGATTATTTTTATCATTGCCATAAAATCGTGATTGAGAAACTTAAGCCTACTGTTGGATGTTCAAAAAAAAAGGTTGGATAGTCAGGAAAACTAGATGAGAAGCACTCATCATAGCATTTTTCTTGATGTACTTTTCTTCTTTCTAGATATACCACATATCAAAGAAGCCCCACAACCAAACTTACATTGGCTAAGAAGATTGGGATATCACTATGACAACATTTCCAGGAGAAGAAAGGGTTATGATACAGAGGAAATCTGGTTTCAGAACAATGGGGGAACTAATAATATAGAAGACTGGTTAAAAGTATGGGTTCTGGAGTCAGACAAGTCTGAGTTTTAATCCTGCCTGCCACTTGTTAGCTGGGTAACCCTGGACTACCAGCCAGTTGCTCTAATTTGCAATTTCAGCAACTACAAAATAAGGAATGTAATGTCTTCCTCATAGCATATAGATGAAATGAACTAATAAGGTAAAGCATCTGCACAGTGCCTGCTGCCAAAGTGTTCAATAAATGCTAGTAGTTAATATTATCAAACGGATGTTATTATATATTCCCATATATTCTATAATGGAAATACAGAGATTTTAAGTTTTAATGGCATTTAAGATTACAGTATGGTTATAGTGTACTAAAGAATACTTTTTACGATGAGAACAAATTGCCACATGATTTACTTCCTATTTTTACTTTTGGTTTCCACTGATGAATTATTATACATTTCTGCAAATTTCAAGTATTACTGCCTAAGCCTTTTATTTATAAAAAGTATTAATTTATTTATTAATACATATATATAATTTTGGATAATGCATAAATATGAACACCTACATCTTTAGTAGTGACTATTTTTAAAAATCTCATATCTCTTCTCCCACTTTGGTTTCTTTTATACCCCATTTCCTTGATAACCCATGTTAACAGCCTAATATGTATCCATCCATTTTCTAATTTATTTTGTTGGTTTGTTTTTTACTTTAGAGAGATAGAAAGAGAGAGAGAGAGCACCAGTGGGGGACAGGGGCAGAGGGAGAGAGAGAGAATCTTCAACAGGCTCCACAAACTGCAATGCCCAACACGGGGCTCAGTCCCACAACCCTTGGATGATAACCTGAGATGAAATCAAGAGTTGGACACTCGACCAAGAGAACCAGCCAGGTGCTCCACTCTTCATTTATAATTCTATGGAGACTTATTCATAATATATTTATATACATATAAAAATACGGGGTTATTTTGATCATCAACTTTAAAAATGGGACCATATTCTCAAGCGTGTTACTTTTCTCACCCAACAATATCCAGAGGAAAGATCTTCAATTCATTTGAGTTTAATAGTACAATATTCCATAATTTAGATGTAACATTATCTATGTAGCATTTCCTCAATTATTGAGCGTTCCTTTTGTTTCCATTTTTTGGCACTACAAATTAGGCTACAATAAACATCCTTATATGTCTTTATCTACTGATTTGTTTATTTCTTTGTGATAGATTCACAGGAGTAGGGAATGTACACTTTTAATTTTAATAGATGTTTGATACATCTTTTCCACTAGAAGCAAGAAATGTAAGAAAATTTTATGTCACTTTCACCAAAAATGTCACTTGTACATAACAGTTATGTAGCGATAAATAGGAAATCTTGAAAAAAAAAAAAAAAAAGAATAAACTTCTGGTAAGGAAGTTTCAAACAAAGATGCATTCCATTGGGATATGTCCTCCTTTTTAATTACTGTAATTGGGAAGTGAAGTTGAGTAGGGGCTGGGGGGAAGGGCAGGAGACTTTAAAAAGAAAGGATACTGAAATAGAAACCTCTCCCAAGTTTACTTTCATCAATAGGTGACTTTCCCCTCTATAAGTGTGCTGTTCTAAAACAGGATGTCTGAGAACCTGGTAATACACAATCATATGGCTGTTACACACTTTTTCTTGCAAGTTCATTGGCTTCTTACTCTTTTGGCTAAAAGTTTTATAGTGTGCAGCATACTGATTTTTACCACTTAAACATTTTTCACTAATTTGCTGTAGTAAGGAGTGGAGGAAAGGGAGAGAGAATTCCATGAACAAGGGCTGTCTTATGAAAGTACAGACATGTTATCAAGTCCTTCAGCAAGTGCAAGTGAAGTCTTAGCAGAGTTAATTGCTCAATTCACTAAGTTTACAGCGCATCTTTGTAGGGAGCAGAATAAAATACATGATTTACAAGTTGGAATGAAAAAAAATCTTCATAAAACAAAGTTATCAGGCTTTTTCTGTTAATAGGAAGAATACTAAACAGAGACGAGTATGCATTTTAAATATTTCTTCATTAGTAATTTCTGTTAAGAAATATGAGTTTTGTGCAAGGTAGATATAAAATCAGTAAGAAAGATTGACATACTTAATTTGTACATTTACTTCAAAAATATGATACAAAGATGAAAATTGGCTAAAAAGAAACTGTTCGTAATGGTAAAAAGCTTATAACTGTATGACCTTTCTCCTGCAGAAGAACCAGAAAAGAGTCTGATTAATTCATGGCCAAGTGAGCTAATTTAAAAAAAAACAAAAAACACAAAGATGACATTTGAGACAAAGTAGATATAAAATTTTACATTATTTCTAGAATAAATCAAATTCCCCTACAAATATGTTTCATTAAACAAGAGAATATTGAGAAACTTAGGTAATGGGAATACCGTATTAAAGTTTCATTTTCTTCTTGAATCACAATTATTGTGCTTCAGATAACAGCATTCTGAAAAAAAAATGTATATTTTTTTACTGAGAAATTTGTCATTTTTAAAAAGCTGAAACAGTCTCAATTTTATTTTTTTTAAATATAATTTTAACTCAAATTAAGTGGGTAATATGTTCCAAAAAGTTAATTTCTTCCTCAATTCCTAGAAAAAGTCAGGTAGGATATATAACATTCTTTTACAGGAACAGCTCTAGGTTTGGACAAGCTCTAGGCCTGGTCTTTATCAGGTTTTCACAGAGCTGAAGAGAAGGGGGTGAAGGTACAGACCAGGCATATCTCCAGTGTGGGAGTGACCAAGAAGTACTGTATCTTTTCTTTTAAGTCTAAATCTTCAAAGAGAGCGATGATAGAGGGCAATTTAAGCTATTAAGCTGAAGAAATGCACACACCTCATACCTAACTGTCAAAGGGATGATTTCACAACTTGGTTGCATAACTGGAAGAAAAAAAGAAGCTTTGGAATTAGAATAAATGAACATATACTCAAACAGTTGTACAAGATCTGCTGAAACTCCCAAGTGGTTCTTACCATAATTTGGAGAATTTTTTGACAAGGGTGCCCTGGAAATCCAAAGCTTATCTAGCAGCAACTCAAATTCAACACAAACCAGACAAAACCATCTTTCTCCCTAGTCTCCCTTCTGCTATTGACTCCTTTTCTAAATGACTGAGCTTGTTAGCTGTGTTCTATTTATATTTTGTATTCTATTCTTCTATATTCATTTTTAGAGAAATCACAACAGGAAAACCCCACTGAATTTACTCTTTAAAAAAATTTTTTTTAACGTTTATTTATTTTTGAGACAGAGAGAGACAGAGCATGAACGGGGGAGGGACAGAGAGAGAGGGAGACACAGAATCCGAATCAGGCTCCAGGCTCTGAGCTGTCAGCACAGAGCCCGACACGGGGCTGGAACTCACAGAGCATGAGATCATGACCTGAGCCAAAGTCGGACGCTTAACCGACTGAGCCACCCAGGCGCCCCAAATTTATTCTTTAATAAATACTATGTAATATGACTTCTCCAGACCAGAGTTCCTTGTTTGTAAATGAGGAATCAAACCATGTAGGTAGAAATATGATAGACTCAGAAACTAGAGATGTCTGTTCATATCCCAACTCTGCCACTTACCATGTATGTTGTCCTGGGAAATTTTAACAACTCATCTGCATCAAAGACTCCTCATTCTTACATTCTTTGACTTAGTGATTTGATGATGTTTCCATATTTCCATCTCCTATTGAAGAAAATGAACTATTAGCTTTAAGAGAGCCATAGAATTAGTAGATATAGACTTCAGATTGCAGTTCTATTGCAGTTAAAAAATTACAGTTGGAGACTCCCAGAAAAGTGCTTCAATCCAGTTGACTCTACACAACCATGTTCTTGCCTGCCTGAGTGACTGCCTCTAGCCACCTGAGATGTCCTTCTCCCTTCATCCATTTGCACCCTAACCACACTTCAAAGCCCAACTCAATTCTCATTCTCTTACTGAAGCATCCATTTCCTTTTTTTTTTTTAATTTTTAAATTTATATCCAAGTTAGTTAGCATATAGTGCAATAATGATTTCAGGAGTAGATAACAGTGATCCACCCCCTATGTATAACACCCAGTACTCATCCTAACAAGTGTCTTCTTTAATTTGGCATCCCTTTCTGAAACATCTTTTTTTCTGAAAATTTCAGTAAATATTGAATAATAATTGAACTTTCTAATTAAACAGTACTTAAGCCCATTATGTGTTTCCACCCTTAACAATGTATAATAATACACTATTTGTTTTACATACACGATATGCTTGAATTATTCATCCTCTTATTTACCTTCTTTAAATACTCATCAAAAATCTACCACATACTCTGTGATCTAGGACTTTATGTAATTTTTTTTGTGTTTTTTTTTTTGTTGTTGTTGTTGTTGCTTTCTTTTTTTGTAAAATGGAAATGAAAATTCCTATCTTTCAAGGTTTTGGAAAATTAAATAAGTTAATGTTTATGTAAAGTGCCTGGCCTGTGTTACGGCATAAATATCTGTTTTTCTTTCTTTTGTAAACAGATATTTTCTGAAAATTAAAAAGGACAGCTTTACTTATTCTCAAAAATTAATGATACCCTATCAAGAAAGCAGGTTTTGGAGCACGTGGGTGGCTCAGTCGGTTAAGCATCCAACTTCAGCTCAGGTCATGATCACACAGTTCATGGGTTTGAGCCGCTCTGTGCTGACAGCTCAGAGCCTGGAGCCTGCTTCGGATTCTGTGTCTCCCTCTCTCTGCTCCTCCCCTGCGCGCTCTCTCTCTCTCTCTCTCAAAATAAACATTAAAAAAAAAAAAAAGAAAAGAAAAGAAAGAAAATAGGTTTATTTCTTTGTCACAAGAAACATTGTAACTAGACCTGTCCTCTTTATTAGAGTATTTCAGTATCCACTTGGAGTTGTCACTTGAAAAAGTTTTCTATCTTTGCTAACATGATAGAATTCTATAATCAAATGCTTAGGATACTGGGATGAAAAGCGTAAGGCAATTTCTTCTTTTTCCTCACCCCTGAAGGGTTGTTTCATACATTTGTAAGGCAGATAGACCCTTTTGTCACATTTTGTACTACATCCTGAGATCCCTTACCTTCTAAATATTTTTTTTAATTTGCATGCATTAAATTCTCTGATGGCTAATATTCCATTGTGTGCATGTGTGTGTGTGTGTGTATACACACCCCACATCTTTATCGATTCATCAGTTGATGAACACTTGGGCTCTTTCCATGATTTGGTTATTGTTGATAGTGCTGCTATAAACACTGGGGTGCATGAGCCCCTTCCAATAAGTATTTTTGTATAGTTTGGATAAAGACTTGGTAGAACAATTGCTGGGTCCTAGGGTAGTTTTATTTTTAACTTTTTGAGAAACCTCTACACTGTTTTCCAGAATGGCTGCACCAGTTTGCATTCCCACCAGCATTGCAAGAGGGTTCCCCTTTCTGTGCATCCTCACAAACATCTGTTGTTTCCCGAGTTGTTAATTTTTGGGCTGTTTGTTTAAGAACAGAGGATCAAAAAGCTGACTGGAAGCTCTGAGCATGAGGTCAGTTTATTGAGTATGAGCTTCTCTGTAGCAAAACTAATGGGTTGGTTTTGTTGGAGGTGCCCCACTGACCTATCTGTTGGAGAAATATGAACATTTTCAGGCTTATTCACTAGCCTGGTCAGAACACCCAGAGATCTGCTGATCCTTTGGCCAGCTTTCTGCAAGTGGAAGTGGGGAGAAAGCCCAAGGCTTAAATTCAGTTCAGAACTTCAACCTATTCTTACTGCCTATAACTGTATGGTCCAAAGAACCTCTATCTTCTACTTCCTTCAGGAAAAAGGACTCCCCGCCCCCACACCAGTGTTCTATCTGGTAGAAAACGTATGGTTGCTCCACTATGTGCAGCGCAAGAAAAATGCCTTGAGGGTCTTCCTGTTGTATTTTTATTGGAATAGTTTTACTGGGATATAATCCACATGTCATACAATTCACCCTCTAAAGTACATAATTCAATATTTTCAATATATTCACAGAGTTGTGCAACTCACACCACATCAATTTTAGAACATTCTGATCACCTCATGCAGAAGCCCTGAGTCCCTAGCTGTCACCTGCCCACCCTTCCTATCATCCTCCACTACTCCTGACCCTAGTCCTGAGCAACCACTAATCTACTTTATGTGTCTATGGATTTGCC